TATAGTTTTTAGTTTGATAGTTGTTTTTACTTTACACGACATTGTTCAACACATCATTCTGCTTCACTCTTTCGCTAACAATTTTGAAGACACCCGTGTTCTTGTGACACGTAAATACTGCGCTTCCTATGTTTTGGTGCGGACTGCGTTCACACCAGCAATGAACCGCTCCAGAGTTCACTAGCAAGCGCTCCGAGACCTCCTATTTTAGCGGACCAGAGTCCGGTTGTTTAGTTCACTTAAGAGGTCTCGGACTGTGTTCACACCGACCCAAATGAACCGCACCAAGCGGCTAAACGCACCAGGGTTCGATTCAACCGGACTATAAAAGGCTGGTGTGAATGTGACCTCAATGTCTTTCATTTTTTGTAAAGCACTTTGAATTGCCTTGTGTTGAAAAGTGCTATATAAATAAACTTGCCTTGCCTTAATCTCAATGAGACCTATCCTGGTTTAATAAAAGGTCAAATAAAAAATAAAATATGTACTTACAACTCGGATTCGCTTCCATTTTCTCCGTCAGTGTCATTGAAATACTCCTGCCTGTCCAGGATCTCTTGGTATTTCTCACCATAATCTATGGAAGCCGAGAAAGGGACATTAAGGCACTGGTGCTTTATCTTGCAGTCCATATTTATTACCGCTCAGCAACATAGTGCATAATAAACAAAAGAAAAGTACATTTCTATCTACACTTACACCGATGAAAACAGTATGGGGCCTGTATTTCAATTCATAGATCTGATGCAGATTATTTTACTTAGAAAACCACTTTTTAACATAGTTAATATATCACAATATATAGAGAAAAAGGAATAAATAAGAAATATCTGGCCTCCTAACATTTTTAAAGCCTTTTCGTTTTCGTGCAAATACGATACAGAACTTACAGTTTTTTCTAATGTTTTTATAGCAGGATAGAGCATGATTTAGCATGTCGACGGTGGCTGTGATTGACAAACAGCTGATAACCTGCTAGCAAACCTCATATTGCCCGCTACTGATCTATCACACACGTGTTTACAAAGATTCACCTGGGTCTGCTGCTGTGAAAGGAGTCCCGTCTTGTGTGTAGAATGTGGGTTCATTCTGAGAGGGGAAGAATATTTCATGAAAAACAGAAATGCAGAGAAGAAATAAGAGGAATGGGAAGAATGGTGAAGGTGACCCTCACCATGAAGTAGTTGGGGTCGTTGTCTGGCGTGGCGTTGCTGGCTGCTGCAGCCGCTCGGACCCTGCCCCAGTCACTCGATCTCAACTCCACTAGTTTCAAGAGCATCTGTCGGACATCCCTGAGCACAGAAAGCCTCACATCAATACATTTTCCCAGGGTGTATATTAGGGATTAACTCTCAAAAGTGCAGCTGTTTGGCACCTTTTCTCAGTTTATGGCTGACGATGGCTGTTTAGTGGGAGTGTGTGTTAAAAAGTAGGGATGCTCCAATCGCCAGAATCAGTATCGGCCGATACCGATCCGATCGGGTGGGCGGGGCCTATGGGGATCTTCCATTTAAAGTTATGTTTAAACTCAGTTAATGGGGCTCATTCACTGGCGCACAACCAACATCATTATTACATTATTCAAGTTTACATTCACTTTGGATAATAACACAGGAGAAATGAGCGGAAGCGCTCTCTTTTCCTCTCTTCCCCCCTCTCTCTCCTGACAGTATCTCATGCAGCTCACTGATCCAGTAATGAGTGACCCGACAGTGAAGAATAAATATATGTATAACTAGTTTAGCTTGTTCCAGAGTTAGATAAAATAGCTAAGTGTGTTTGGTCTAACTCTTAGTGTGTGTGTTGCTCCGCTCACCGGTCGGAGCTGCAGGAGCTGCAGGATCTCTGCTTCACACACGTTGCATACCGTTATTTTATTGTCTTTTTCGGACACCTTAAAATGCTGCCAGACCGGTGAAGCCATTTTGGCGAGCTTGTTTTGCCGCACTGAGAAAAGTGTCATGTATTTTACGTCATGTGATCGGCTCTCCTGATCGGCCTTTATAGAGAGCACCGATCGATCAGCAGAGAGTGAATATCGGCCGATATTCACTCTATAACAGCCTAAGAATCAAATCAAGTAGTCGATAAACAGAAAAATAATCAAGACATATTTTTGTTAATGACATTTTTCATAATTTCACAAGGACAAAATAAATATTCTGCCTCGTCCTAGATACAGGGTTCTTACACCTTTTCCAAAGTCAAATTCAAGCACTTTTCAAGCATTTTCAAGGTGCATTTTCAAGCTTTTCAAGCATCTTACAGCTGTTGTAAATGACATATTTATATACACGTACTTATACTCAAATGATT